CACGCACGCTCACACGCACGCACACACACACACACACACACACACACACACACACACACACACACACACACACACACACACACGCGCGCAAACACACAATGTCATAATATGCTCTCATTCAAGTCCCATCTTGTCAAACCACAATTGCACAGATAAACACCATCATCGCATCATTCTATGAAATACGAACTACTCATACACCTACATTACCTTAACATTACAGGCAGAAACATTCTCTGAAAAAGGATGTAGGAGTGTTTCAAAGGTCAAAAAAAACAAAAAAACAATACCTTCAAGCAGATGTCATGCAGAGACTTTGTATCTGTTATTTAGAATAATGTCAAGTGTGACTTGACTGACAAATGACCCCTTATTTCCATTGAGGTCGCAATGATGTCTTCATACAACTCCAAGCTGATAGGTTCTCAGTTAAGTGTAAAACTCATTCACTTTCAAATGCGAACAAGTAAATTTTTTCATGTTCGCACACGTTGAGAGGTTTCACTGACGCATGTAAAATACAAGCCAGGTGTAAAAAGAGGGAGGTTTCTGTTATGGCTTCGTCGACAGTTTTATCAGATGAGAGTACGTGTGTGTGTCTGATGTAGTTTTGGTGTGCTTAATGACGACAATAACAAAAAAGTGTAGGGGTACAATGCAAATGGTATTCAAGGCAAAAGTTGTCACGTATGCGATAATGTGAGGCGGGGGCGGGGGGTGGGACGAAAGCGATCAACAATAACTAAAGGCACGTCCGGCTACATCAGTAATACACCAGCTAAATAAAGATGAGTTCATGCTGTTACAATCCAAATTTTCATCTGAGCTTCTTCTTACCTGGGAGGCACACTTTGGTGACTGCAGGCTGATTTGCGGCTGCAGGAGATCTCCTGGAAGAAGGAAAGACAGTCAAGAATGATGGTGGACGTTTTGGAGAACTGTTTATTGGATGAAATTTAGTGAATAGCAATACAGTTGAGAAGTGTTTTAATTATTCGTACTGGTGATACAAAACTCATTCCAGGTTGAAAAACTTCATTGGATTCTCCCACCATTTTAGATATTAACCCTTTCATGCCCAAATAATGATAACCTGTAACCTAATAATCTGATAAGGTGCCCACCAAAGTAACCGCTGGCTCTAAAAGGGCTCAACCTAAACCATCGTAAATGTTTAATGAAGAATATTTGAAAAAGATATCGACTGTATAATTAATTTGTCGAAATAGCCGAAGATTAAAGGTCTACATCAGGGATGACCAACTGGCGGCCCATGGCCTGCGGCCCTAATCTGACTGGCCCCTGGAATAACAAAAAAATAATAATAAAAATGGGGGTTGGGGGGTAATTAAAAAATAAAAAATAAAAATTTAAGAAACCCCACAAAATCATTCAAAAAACACAGATGAAAATTCAATTTATTCTTCCAACATGTGTGTGTGGCTGTGTGTGTGCGTGTGCGCATGCGCGTGTGGAGGGGAGAGGCAAGATAGTAGAAAATCCCTGAAAAAAAAAAAAAAAAACAGAAAAAAAACGCAGAAAAAACTATTTAAAAAAATATTGAAAAAAAACCCAAACAGATATGACAATATGTGAATCTGTGAGAGAAACTGCAGTGGTCGACTGTGTTTTAAGATTTAACATCACGAATATCAATGGGATGGCAGAAATGGCTCAGTTGGACTTACAACAGGTCTTATACCGCCTTATATTACACCGTGAGTACAATTTTTTTTTTTAGACTTGAAATGAGATGTGGGCGGCATGGTGATCGACTGGTTAGCACGTCGGTCTCACAGTGCAGAGGTGCATGGTTCAACTCCGGCCTCCCTGTGTGGAGTTTGTATGTTGTCCCCGTGATTGTGTGGGTTTTCTCTGGGTACACGGGTTTCCTCCCACATTCCAAAAACATGCATGGCAGGTTAATGGAACACTCTAAATTGTACTTAGGTTTGAATGTGAGTGCGAATGGTTGTTCGTATCTGTGTGCCCTGCGATTGGCTGGCAACCAGTTCAGGGTGTACCCCGACTGCTGCCCGAAGACAGCTGGGATAGGCTCCAAGTGCGGCCGCGACCTTCGTGAGGATAAGCGGTTTAGAAAATGAACGGATGGATGGATGGAAATGATATGCAGGACAAATGTAGTAGGTTACATCAATAATATTGAAGGTTTTAACTCAGTTGATTTTCATGAAATAAATGTACAAAATGAGTTATGTTGGTTTTCTGCTCAGCATTTTTATACTGTCCTTGAAAGGTAATTGGTGTGCAAGATAGCAAAAAATTCGCTGGGAACAACAAAACAATAATATTACTAAATATAACAGTGACTTTGTTATTTGCTTCATACACTGTGTTGGGTAAGGACAGATATTTTATAAATGCATTGAGAAATGTATGACAGAAAATAAAACATTTTAAAAACACGTATTTTGCATTAATGCACATAATTTGTCCATATACTTGGTTAGAAAGTCTCTCTCTCTCTCTCTCTCTCTCTCTCTGTATATACGGCGGCAAGCATCCTTAAAAAAAGGCCTCTCTCTCTCTCTCTCTCTCTCTCTCTGTCTGTATATACGGCGGCGAGCATCCTTAAAAAAAGGAGTTGCTGCCCTACATACATATTTTTAGTCTTTCTGCACCACCGTGAAGTGTGATATTGACGATTGCTACTGTCCCTTTGGATAACATCTTCTTTACAACAAGTGTGGTATTCATCAGAAGGACTGACATCATCAAGGTGTGAAAACAAATGTCTGCTTTCTGCAGCACTCCAAAATGTGAGGTAAAAAAATTACCGGTACTCATTCATATATGCATACATATATTTCTATGGCGGCATGATGAGCGACTGGTTAGTAAATGCACCTCGCAATGCAGAGATCAATAGTTTAGATCCTGACTTCGGCCTTCCTGTGTGGGGTTTGCATGTTCAAGTAAAAGCATATTGGTTGGACCAATATATTAATGAACACATAATAGGTCATTACTCATTCATATATGCATACATATATTTCTATGGCAGCATGATGAGCGACTGGTTAGTAAATGCACCTCACAGTGCAGAGATCAAGAGTTTAAATCCTGACTTCGGCCTTCCTGTGTGGGGTTTGCATGTTCAAGTAAAAGCATATTGGTTGGACCACGATATTAATGAACACATAATAGGTCAAGAGTTGAATTTAAAAATTCATAGAGACATTTCCCAAAGGTTTTCTTAATAACCAAAATCCCTTCATATCAAGTTCTAGTGATGCTCCAAGTGTAATAGAAAGCTGTTAACTGCACTAAAATAGACGCCAGCATAAACCTTATTTTGTAAAGCTCGTGACTACCATCTTGTGGTAACTTGTGGTTACAAATCTACAGACTCTTTAAATCAGGGGTAGGGAACTCCGGTTCCTCGAGAGGCATATCCGGTTTGTTTTAGATACCTCCCTTGACCAACACAATTGATTCAAACAATTAGGTCATCAGCAAGCTCAGTAGAAGCCTGAAATGCTCCTGATCATTTGAATTTGGTGTGTTGGAGTTGGGAGAGATCTAAAACAGGCAGTATATGGCTCTCGAGGACCCGGAGTTCCCTACCCCAACTTTAAATGATGGCGTACTGCAGTAACACGTTTTTGTGTATTAAACAAAAAAAATAAGTTTACTTCAAATGATATTCTGTTTTTTTTTTGTTTGTTTTTTTTTAAGAATAAATGGAATGATATTAAATTGATATTAAATGTAAATGATTACACTTAACATTCATCATGTCTTCAAATGTGTGAGTAACGCCTTACAGCCAAAATACAACTTACGAGAACTAAAGTCAGTGATGTAAGCCAGAGAATGAATAACTTACTTGCTGGAGGCACACTGGACATTGGTCAGAACAGTGAAGTTATTCCTCACACTTCGAAGGCTTGCCAGGACCTGGACACATAAGATAAAGATTTTCATTAGTCATCATGCATTTATTTCGTGCCAGCTTTTGGTTTATTCACTGTTTAGTTCGTTCTTGAATGGAACTCAGTATATGTCCATTGACTGCTACAGTTTAAAGTGATGTAGTAAAATAACTGAAAGTGTAACTATCGAGTGTGAAATTTGGTATTTTTGAGGCAAAATCTGATGCGTGCCCACATCTGTTATAACAATAACGATTAAAAGCACAGTGGAGGGTGATTAGGATGTATGCTTCACAGTTCTGAGGTTTAAGGTTCAAATTCAGGACTTCCAGTGTGGTGTTTGCATCTTCTCACACATTTCTAAAACTTGCTTCTTAGGTTATTTTCAGACTCTATATTGGTTCTCAATGTGAATGAATATACCACCATTATTTTGCAAAACCGCAGTTGACTTAGTTTTACAGACTGTACAGCTAACAAATGTGAAGTAGGTTCGACGCTGGAAGGGCTTCAATGAATTGTAATTATTTCCTGTGGAAAAAAATTGTTCAGAATTCCAAAGAAATCACAGGACACCCACCAGTTTCCTGCAATTGAATGTGTTCAACCTTAGAAATTCTACAGTAACAGATTTCTCTGAATGTTCAACAACAGATGGGGAAATATTTACCTGAGCAAAAGGCGTCACGATCAGGTCATCACCATGTCTGGAAGGACACAGAAATGTGTACTAAGAAATGTGTTCAAATGCAGTGAATGCTTTGCTGTTGATAGCATTTTAAATACCACTCCATTAGTCATGGACAGCAGCTAAAATTGACCAAGCCTGTCCCATCACTGTAATGAATTCAGAGAGATGGACTCCAAAGCGTCTGGGAGGAAGGTCATAATTAGGAGTCTTCAGTCCCGAGGGGATATGTGACTTTGTAAGGCATTTTTGTACAATGACTAATCTATTTTTGTACACTTGAGAAAGACACTTCAAATCACTTTCATGCTCTCTGAAGCCACGTATTTATTACTGAGGAGATATTTGCAGGCATCGCCACTCAGTATTTATCAGTGGATCAACATCAGAGTGGGCGAACTAGCCCCAGTGTAGCGTTGTGCATGTTGGGGACTTATCAAAACAGCAAATCTGGCATGATAGAAACTGCATGTAAACTGCTCATTTCCTCATTTGCTCATAAGTGAGCAACGGAGAGGTTAATTGTTGTGATGTTTTCAGAGGTTGAATTGGGCATAAGTAGAGATGTCTGCAGAAATTTTGGTGCCAAATTATGTACAACGATTTTGAATGGAGAAATTGTGTCCGGTTCCTCCGCTCACTCCCACCAAGGAATGGTAAGAGTTAGGTATTTATTGATTTCTCCAAAACAAAATGATAAAATTGAAAATGCAAGCTAATATCATTTTCCTGATAAAAAAAAAAAATACACGGAGAGTGTTTGAATGAAAATGAGCCATCCCCGACAGATGATCCCTACAAGAAACATCAGCAGTGTTTGCTAGTCTTTGCTGGTAAACTTGCTAGCAGGTATGATAGCAAAATAAAAAAAAAAAAAAAAAATGTGGTTTAAAGCTTAAATACATAGTTCATAATCCATTGCATTGATTGAAACATGAACTTTTTTACCAGATGAAAACAAATCAAAGAGAAGAGCTAATGCTTCACTTGTGGACAGCCGAGCCCTGTTTCACGTGCTGTCCGCCATTTTGTTTGGAGCATCAAAACTGAGATGACTTTGGCAAGCAAAGAGTGGTTTGGATTCCATCAAGTGTTGTGATTGGCCAAGGACATAGGAAGAATGGCAGGATGATGCAGAAGTGGAAGGAAGGGGGATAAAAATAAGCAGTTATCATAGTTTGCCCAAAAAAATGACGTAGGCAATTGTGCAAGTGTGGCCCGACGAAATATAGGAGTCACTGCCAGGGGTACAAATGATAGAAAGCAAAATAAAAACAGAGAGTGACTGGCATGATTTCCTCATGCATCACCGGCCAAACTGGCGGGTAAGTTTTTATCAACACTAACCAAAATGAATTTTAACCCACATTTGTCAGGTTGGCAGGTGTTAATTTAGAACCCTGGCTGAAATCAAATCACCTCCAAGTATAGCTAGTGCAGTGAAATACTACAGCATTGCAAAGTACAGCCCCAATAATATAAACATTGTGAATTTTACACCTCTTTGATAGTGTAAATCAGAATTTTCATGATAACAGTATTTTTAACTTTATTCAATTGTGAAGGTGTACCTAAGGTGTGGCCAGTTAGTGTACAGTATTTGAATTGTTTCAACTCACAGCTCAGAGGCAATGGAGGAGTTCCGTGACATGGACTTGGGTGACAGATCATAGTCGCTGTCAGAGCGATACAAAAAGGACTCTCTGCGCTGGTTGTGACCTGGGAAGTTGGTGTGGAGGACAAGACCAGAGCCGGGGGAGGCCTGAGGGTCCAGAGGACTGCAGCTGGTCGAAGGGCCATTCTCCACATCGAAACTGCAAACATAACGGCGCACTGATTCAGACCATTTCATTTTCATCGACCATTTGGCATTTGAAGACATAACAATCAACACATATAATATGTTATCGACTGTCAGCCTGTGAGAATTAGCATGAATGACACAAGGGCTATTAAAAAATCAAACATAATATTGCAGGTTTCATTATACAAACAAAATGCTTTGACTTTGATACTATTCAGTGTGTCTTTTGATGTCTGGGGTAGTTTTAATTTGCTGGCTGAGGATGAAACAAGGGTAGCGCAGATTGATTCATGTGTACCATCAACATCCCCTTAAAGACATTTTTTTTCCCCCTGTATCAGTGCTTTAACACAGCTCGTCGTTTTATAGCAATGAAATCACCAATGGGAAGTCCTTGAATAAATCTCAGCAAGACCATTTTCGAAACTTTTAAATGTACATAGCCAACTTTTTATTTTTTTTCAGTTCTTTTTGCAAAACTTGCTGTTTTCAAACAAGGAGCTGAATGGGAAAATCCAACACAGGTGTTTGATTCATAAATAAACCAGCACATTTCCTGGTTCAATTACAATTGGTATTGAAACAGTCCCCTTCATGATGCCTTTCAAATTTTGAAAACACAAGACCAAGACGCCTCCTGACAGGTGATCCACAAGATTGGGAGGCTTCAAACGGAAAGATCTCAATGGTAAGTGGCCACTGGCCTTAAAGTGTGACAGAGTGGCATAAGCAGGTTGCAACACAGATACAGTGACTGTTAGAGTAATGCCCACGTCAAGACTACACATATGTAGCCTGATTTTGAGCTGACAGACATGTCACGAACAAGCGTAGTGTCTCGTGGTCGATCTAGACTTGTCTTGACGCGCCGTAGGACGGCCCTCTTCCCGCCATCCAGGAACACCTTTTCTTGCCTTTTCTGAGCAGAAAAAAATGCCTTCATCGACATGACTTTAATAGCTGCACGTCCCACCTCTTTGTCAGACCTGCGTCAATGGACTGAATCTTGACAGAAGCACGCAACTGCCTTTTCTGAGCAGAAAAAAATGCCTTCATCGACACGACTAGTTGCACGTCCCACCTCTTTGTCAGACCTGCGCCAATGGACTGAATCTTGACAGAAGCACGCAACCATTGGGCAGGGTCTGGTCGGTGACGGACTATTTAATGTGACGCCTCGCCCGGTCCAAAAAAACAGAACGACATTTATCTGACAGTCTGACATCGCGACTGTCGTGAACGACAAAAAAAGCTGTGTAGTTTGAGAAGGCCATAACAGAAAAAAAGCATAGAAGTGGACATATTTGGAAATGCAGGAGTCAGTTCTTGTCTGAAACAGCTGTTGTAAATTTTGCTGTTCAGTTCCTTGGAAGTTAACCAAAAAGAAGTTTAGAGAAACTCTAACTAGATTCACCTTTTAGGTTCATCCTTAAATGTCACCCGAAAGCCAACAATCTATTTTTTTGAGATGTGTATATGTCATTTTGCTTTTGCTACAACATCCATGATTTAGTTTACGCCTCTCTATCTGCTCTCAAAGTAGATTATTCATTATATATTCTTACAATTAATCGGTTATCAGAGAAAAGGAGCTGGGCGTGGGCATGTTTTTTGGAGGGGCTTGTTGTTCCTAGCGGACTGGTCATTGCAGAGCAAATACAAAAGACCTATAGCAGCTGCATGTGCACAATATAGTCCATGTTCACACATGCCTGCATTTTGCACTAACTACTGCATGCTTGACTGCCTGTGCCCTCAGGTTAATCTCCTGTTTCATGTCAGACAATCACATGCAGACTGTACAGTTGAACATCACTCGCTCACGCATTCACTCACCCATGTATGAACGCATTCATGCATGACACATACATGCGAATGCCGGTTAAAAACTTGATTGTACATAGGCCCCCAAAAAGATTGTCGAATGGAAAATGGAAGCTTTGAAAATGATCAAAGTGGTTCAGAGGTGATGGAATTTCTACAGAACAGTACAAATAAACATCTTGTCTTCTGAGAGGGTGCAAAAAAAAAAAAAGTTTTGTGGAGTCCGTGGGAGGAAAAAAAAAAAAAAAAAGTTTTGTGGAGTCCGTGGGAAAACTTACTTCAAAAACAGAATCAGTGACTCGACCTTATGATTCACTTGTGATTCCCACAAGAAGCAATGATTAGTCCAACAAGAAAATAGGAAAGATACACATCAACACATTGAGTGCGTTTGCACTTCAAGCCCATTTATATGAGGGGTGTTGATTTTGACTTTGAAACCTCAACAAGAAAATAGGAAAGATACACATCAACACATTTGAGTGAGGGGTGTTGATTTTGACTTTGAAACCATCGGTCAAATAGCCATCCATTCATCAGCTTTATGTCTCTCTCATCCATTTTGAGCACAATTTTTCAACTGAAAAACAAAGTTATCGAATAGCTTTGTTCTGTAATTACCAAAAGGTAGGAAAATAATCATTGATCTCGTGGCTGTGTTGGCCCTGTAGTGTGCTTAACCAGACAAAAGAAGGATATCCAAGCATTTAGCCTTGCAATAACAGCACAAAGACAGCTCTTGGGAACAAAGAGCCTTTTCTGTGTAATAGGGTGTATTTGTCTGGGAACTCATTCTTACTCATATTACTCTCGCATGCTTTCTCATTAAGTTCATCTATGGAAAAACACTCGAGTGTCACACGTCGACTGCAGTAATGCAATAACGTGTCCTTTTCACAGAGGGCACGGAGTAGGTCTGCGTGCAGACAGACAGGATGAGAACAAGGACTGTTCATCCGACCTGGTGAGCAGTCAAGAAAATTGGAGGCAAAAGGTTTTGTTACAGTGTCTTTTTGAATGAATCAATTACACATGCGTGATAATTCACAATACAGAGCCACAAAACAAAGACTTTGAGTGAAAGGGTTACAAAGACAATGCAGAGACAAATTTTGTTTGAAAGAATTTTTTGCTGTAAAACAGAAAGATCTCCTTCTGACCCCAAACAATTTGGGATGACAACATTCCAGAAAGACATTCCATTCCCAATTTTCCAACTTTCTTGGTCCACCAAACCAGAATGACTTCAACATTACACCTGAATTTTTGATTCATTAAATAAATTTAGTCTTGGTGATTTCCAGAGATAAACTGTTCATCCGACCTGGTGAGCAGTCAAGAAAATTGGAGGCAAAAGGTTTTGTTACAGTGTCTTTTTGAATGAATCAATTACACATGCGTGATAATTCACAATACAGAGCCACAAAACAAAGACTTTGAGTGAAAGGGTTACAAAGACAATGCAGAGACAAATTTTGTTTGAAAGAATTTTTTGCTGTAAAACAGAAAGATCTCCTTCTGACCCCAAACAATTTGCTATGACAACATTCCAGAAAGACATTCCATTCTCAATTTTCCAACTTTCTTGGTCCACCAAACTAGAATGACTTTAACATTACACCTGAATTTTTGATTCATTAAATAAATTTAGTCTTGGTGAAAATAATGTGCAATTTTGATTTCCAGAGATATATTTGTACATTTTACAATGTGTCTATTATCGTAGTGGTTTACATTGGTGTAGAACTTCACTTCAACACACTGATGGCTCTCACATAATTCAGGATATAACACACACACACACACACAAAGGATAATCTAATGCAAAACAGTTCAATGTTCCCAACACACACACACACACACACACACACAAAGGACAATCTAATGCAAAACAGTTCAATGTTCCCCCTATAATTCAAATCTTTGCTTTGTAAGTCCTAAAGAGACCAAAAACAAAAGTAGATTATTCATTATATATTCTTATTAATCTGCCAATTAATCGTTTATCAGATTTTTTTTCCCTGACAAATATTGGACTCCGCATCGGCCTAAAGAGAAATCCATATGGTTCAGGCCCTTCTTATGGAAATTGTATATTGTGGTCTTGAAGTACATGCATCCACTTGGGCAGAAATGGTTGGTGATTGTATCAACACTAACAATGTTGTATTCATATTAATCAATCAATCATCGAGCAATGCATTCCAGACAAATACACATTGTTTTTTGTTGTTGGTTGTTTTGCACAGGAAGGTCAATCCTGTGGGGAGGTGGGAATCATAGTGTTCGCTATCTTAGTTTAAAGCACGAAGAAAATCAAATAATCATTCGTAATCACCGTTGAAATAAAAGGTGAATAGTCCAGGCTCCAGCTAAATACATGCCGAACTTATTAATAGAAACCAGGCCACTAACATAATCAGAATTTGTGCCAAGTCATTTTACATGCTCATTAAGTAAAAATTAACCCAACAGATGCGCTCATTTACAGATCGTTATATTATTTGCAGTGTACATGTTGCACAATTTCAGGAAATGCAAAGCAGAACTGGACAGGAGGCTTGACAATGATAAAGCACTACCTCCTTCGTTAACATGTCTGTAAAAACATAGAAGCTTTTCGTGACGTGACAGTTGAGACTCAAAAGAAGAATGAATTACAAATTAATGTAATGTGTTTTTTCATTACATTGTGATGTTATCAACAGGTCACTGTACGTCTCCCCCGATTGCTCGCATGACCCAGTTAGGGGGCAATCTCTTGAAATATTTCAATATTTGAATGCCGTGTAAAGTGAGATTACACAGTTGTTCCGACATACATGAAACATGTTTGAAGATAACTGCTGAAAGTGTGCAAAAACTATGTAGGACTGAATTGTGGTGAGCCATAAAAATGTTCACCATGTCAGAATATTTTGGCTGTGGCTAAAACGGCGGCAAGTGACACATTGAGCATCTGGCATAGTCCCTCCTCCTCCACTACGCAAGACCTTTTACAAAAGGAAATCGGTCCCGGTAGCAATTATTAGCAGACTCCCAGAAGGAATGCACAAGCAGCAGAGCAGCTCCAGCCAACTTGGACCCGGGCTGGCCCCAAGGGATTCACATGGGAACTGCAGCTATAAGCTTTCTATGCAGTTGTAGCTATCAAAATTTTCCTTCAAATGCAAATTATATGCATGT